GATGATGTATGTTCAGGGCTGCATTGCAATATTGATTGTTCGGATCATTGGTATCTAAGTCTTCCGCTGTGTTATCTTGTACTTTGTATTGAGAGATCGGTTCTGTTATGGTCTGCACGTTACAGTATGCAACAGTTTGGTATCAGAGCGGACCTCTCATTCAGAGGACCATCAAGTAGCCTGCTTGCTGATCTATTGATCACTCATTACTAACACAAGTAGGACTTCGTCAAATCTCTGAATTTTTTTTTTTTTTCCTCGCAACAACTATCTGGAAATTCTGATATTCGCAATTTGTTTTACCTGAAAATTTCTGATATCAGTAGTTGGTTTTTATGTAACAAATATCTGAAAATTTCTGATAAATCGCATTTAATTTTGTCTGGAAAATTCTGAAAGTAGCTTTTCATTTCTCTGATATTTCGCATACATAGCTCAAAATTTCTGAAGTTAGTATTTCGTTCTCTATGCATATTGGGATAACGATAGAAGTGGTCATATTCTCGAAAACTGGAATTATTCTTTTATGAAAATTGAATTTTCATTCTATCTCGCAAATTTTTTTTTGAAATCCGAAATCTTGCGAAGCCTACCAATATTGCGTTAGGCATATTCGAAGGTTGCCATATTCTCAGAAACGGGATTTCGTTCTTTTCTGAAGATCGCATTTTTACTCCATTTCGCAAAAAAAAAATTCAAAATCGCAGTTTGTAAAAGCCGAAACTTTGTGGAACCTAGCCTAGATCTCGTTCGTAGAACTCTTTTGACATGTCCTACTCATAATAGATCGACAGATATACAAATAAAAAAAAGAAAAAAAAAAGGGAAGTAGTCCTCTTTATTTTTTTATTTTTTTTTTGATTTTATCTGTTGATTAGGGTCGATGGAAAGTATTGTTGAGTTGGTTTCCTACCTGCATTTTCCCTCCCACCCACCCCTTTGCATGCATTTCCGGGTTGGTACATGACACGTCAACAACAGTGACACGTCAGCAGGCCACGTCAACAATGACATGTCAGCTATAGTGACACGTCAGCAGTGCCACGTCAGCTATTGTGACACGTCAGCAGGCCACGTCAACAGTGACACGTCAGCAGTGCCACGTCAGACACACTGACACGTCAGCTACAGTGACACGTCCGCAGGCCACGTCAATAGTGACACGTCAGCTACAGTGCCACGACAGACACAGTGTCACGTAAGCAGTGCCACGTCAGCAACATGACGGGCCTGCCAGGCCAACTGGCCAATGAGCCCATTGCCGACTACAAAAGGCGCTTCCAGGCTCAGCTCGCTGTCATCGAGGTTGAGGAACAACGCCAGCTGGCAGCCAAGGCTGCCCAGCTACAGGCTGAAGAAGCGGCAACAACAGAGAAGCTGCGGCAACAGTAGAGAAGCTGCGGCTACAGGCCGAAGCAAACGCAGATGCCCAGGCTCGCCACAAGGAAGCCCAGGATCTGCTGCAGCTGCATGAAGCCACAAGAATCGAAAAACTCAAGTTCTGGCACTTTGAACCAAACGGCGACGACGGAACACCGGAAGAGAAGCATAAGGAGTTCCTCTCCAAACTTGTGGCACGGTTCTTGTATGCTTGCAACTACCAACGGTCCGAGTTGGAGAGACAGAACCTGGAACTGCAGCAACATTTCTTGGATCTGAAGACGCACCCCCACGAGTTGGCGAACCTCCGCCGGATGGTGCAGAGCCACGAGGATGCAACACGGGCACTCAATTCCCGTGTACTGGACGTGGAACAGGCTGTACCAGGACCAGATGTTGGGGCTTCCAGCAGTGCACCCTCTAGCCGCCAACTGGAGGAACGCGTTGACCACGTCGTGGCAATGCTGGGCGACATCAGCACCTTCGCGGCGCCAACCATCATCAGCAGTCAGCTGGACATGTTGAAGACCGAGGTCCAGCAACTGCAGTCGACGAACATGGATGGCAATCCAAAGAAATACAAGATGCCAACCTTCCAACTGGAGAAGTTCGACGACTACACACATCAGGATCCGGTCCTCTGGTGGGAAGCTTTCACGACGCAACTCCGGATTCTGCCTGTCGCCAAGCATGCATACATCGGCGCCCTGTTCATGAACTCAAAGGGCGGATGCCAGATCTGGTTGACTCACCTGTCAGCCACCCACAGCGTCGACGTCGCCAATCTGAAGGACAAGATCACATGGGAAGAGTTAACACGACTGTGGAAGAAGCGGTTCATCGTCGATGACGCACCAACACTAGCCATCAACTGTCTCTTCACCATGTCTCAGGGCAACACAGCAACACGTGACTGGCTCACGGAATGACAGAAGATGGCGGCAGTGCCCGATCTAGACTTACCATTCACGCATCTACGTCGTGAGTTCTATAACAGGTCATGTGTTGCGCTAAGCCAGACACTTGGTGATCGCGAGCAGTATGCATCTTTCACCGAGATCATTGACAAGGCAAGAGAGATCATCAAGACCAACAGGGCGGCTGCACACGAGAAGTCCACGTGGCAGCCAACCTATGCCAATAAGGTAAGAACTGGTCCCCGACAGCAATAGTTCGCTGCAGTCCAATCGGACAGTGGAGAAGACCCAGCAGCCACTCCAGGATCACGTGAGGCCCGGTGAGGGAGATCAGGTGGCTGTTGTCCAGCCGCGAAGCAACAAGCCCCGAGTGAACGGGAAGGCGAAACCAGCATCGCAGGCCGAAAACGGACAACCAGCACCACCATGGGTCGAGTTCGGCTTGACCGAGGGCGAGTACAAGTACCGCAACCGTTACGGCTGCTGTTACTGGTGCAACAGCATCAAGCACAAGACCTCCATTTGCCAGGATCAGGCCAAGGAGGATGTGCGGCCTCGTCTTAACTCGGGAAACTGAGTTGCGCAGGAGGTGAGGCGACTCCACC